GGGAAAAACAGTGTGAAATTCTCGTGAAGAAGATGTGGGATATAAGTTCTGGTAAGAATATTCTAAACGTTGTGAAAATACTAATTTCGGACTATGAAAGAGTGTTTTTGTACCGCTGGAGGCCACATCAAACGTGTTCCACCACTACAAGTACATTAACATCACATGATACGGAGAATACGAAAGATGCGGAAGTTTGAGCTTTTTGTTGGAGTAAGGAAAAATTGGTAACTGTCTCATCACGATCATGGGGCAAAGAGTACAGTTCTGAGTCCTCAACGAGGAATAAAACCTCAGACTTTGGAATCCTTGCTCCGATTCTGTACTGACAGCTGAGCTCCGAGGAGCTTTACTGTGAGTTAGGCTTTTATCAAATTGATATGTGACAACTCTCTCTATTCCACCACCAAACACATAATTTGTCATCTTTCTGATCCTGGTTATCGATTGATATCAATTTAGTTGAGGAATACACTTATTATCTCTTCAAGCATTGCTGATCTTAGCAGTACGCAGGTTGCCTGTCACGTAAAAACATTTAAGTAACGGCTTAACTCACAAGATTCGTTCCTTAAAATGTAGCTCAGTAGTAGTACAACATCGCAGCACGGAATCTAAAGGTCTGGGGTTTCAATTCCTCGTGGGAGAACCAGATTTCTCTCCTTTGTTCCACGCTTGTGTGAAGACGAATACAGTCGAACCTGTATTAAGCGGTCGGTTGTCAAAGTCCCGAAATTTGTACTCCACCTCTGTAAAACGTTCACCTGTATTAAGCGGTTGTGGTCACCCTTTATTGAGTCCCAACGGCCTGTTTGTATTGTACCTAACCTGGACTGAACGGTCATTTAAAGTGAGACCACTCAGATAAAATTAGGAATAATCTATCACGTATAAGTTTATCCTTATTTATCTTCCGAAATCAATGTTGGTAGAATTTTTGAGCGAGTCTTTGAACTTTGAGTGCTCAATGCTGGCATAAATTTGAGTTAAGATCTGAAAGCTTCTGTCTTCAATGATGATTGATGATTGAATGCTCCAAAGACAAATGGGGAAAAGTATCCTCAACCGGCTTTTGAACAGAGAAATGTAGAAACCTAGATTAAAATTTAGCCCTTGGTTAGCGCTAATCGGCCTTCGAACAACTGGGCCCTGAAGTGTTAGCCAGCTTCCTGTCCGCACATAGGAGTTTTCCTCACAGTCTTCAAAAGAAGACCGCCTCAAATGCTGGTCCATTCACTAACTAAGGAATTTTGTCTTGTCCTAGTTGCAGGAAATTGAGTTACTTGCAAATAGAAGAAACTGAGGAAAAAAGGCCAAAACACGCACAAAAATAACTTTGGAATTACGCGTGGACGTTATCCTAGCAGAGTACAATAGCTAAGGAAATTACCAGATATATTGCCGTTTACCCTCGTTCCCGCAGTACCTTCATAGGTGAGTTTTAACGTAGGGCTCTCGTTTGCTCTCTTCCTTTGATTGTATAGTTGTCCATTACATCAATATCATGTCTTAAATCTAGTACTTATTAACCACGTCTGCGTCATACATAAGTATTTCCGATTTCACGGCTTGTATCACTCAAAAAATAGAAATAAAAAAGGCAAAGATTAGCTGTAAACATGCCTATTCGGATTTGTTCCGGTCATCTCATCAACTTGACCTGGGAGATAAAGCAGGTGCTTTTTCGGTGATATTCACTGCATAATTGGTAGAGGTAGGATATAATGCTTAATGTGTCAATCTAAGTTGTGTGCACTTAGCTTTTTGTCCTCTTATTTTCGCTATAGATCCTTACCATGACAGTAGAGCCAACCTTTAACGTGACAATAAACAACTCAGATCAAAGTGTTATCAAAGAAACCTCTGTGGCTCAAAATTCGTCAAGGCTTTTTGGATGACAGTGCTCGACCCTATGAATGGAAATATTTCTGGAACAGCGATGAAACAGCTTCGTAATTCCCTTAAACTTGCAAACTCTTCAACCCTAGTTTATTTCATCTGCATAGATTTCTCGGAGATATTTTCCATCGTATTCCGGCTATTTTTTTTTGGCCTCGATTAAGCTGAAATTTAGTTTAAATGTCATTTCTGAAAATAAGAAAAATCAAGAACATAAAATCATGTTTCCATGACATGTGTGTTTCGTTAATTTTTCTCTCTTTACCTTTTCTGATAGCAAATGGCGATTTTGCCTAGTGCTTATTTCTTGCCGTTCACCTGCCCAGTCCCACCATCACTTGTGCTCGATCTGTACGATCATGCCTCCAATATCATTGAGCCTGCTATTAGCTCATGTATCGCTTGCGGCCAGCAGCTACAAACTCGTCTTACCTGTAATGAAGTTTCTCCCCTTTCCTCCAATCTTGACTACACTCTAAGCTTCAGTGGTCGCAAAGCCTAGTTTTCGTGCCATCGGATAACTCTCTCGGGGATTATATCCCTGGAGCAACAGAAGAGCGTTTTAAATTTGAGTCGGCTCTTTTGGTAAAAATAATAATCATAACAAGCATCTTGGGAACGCCTCGGTTCAATTCCTCCCTATAAGAGGAAGTGGAGTCAGGACAATGATTAAAAACAGGTTTTAACATCAATGTATCTTTCAAGTTGATGGTTTAAAAGAGTAGAAAAAAGAATTAAAAAGGCAGTCGACGTTAGTTTTACACCCAGTTTGAGATGAATAAGCTAGAGCAAGCTTAAAGTTTGTGCTAAGCCGCACGCGAACAGACCAGAGGAAGTTTTGGTTACGGTGCGTCCCATGTTATTCAGATCTTTCCTAAGTAAATGATGGCCTAGTTATCGTAGCACAAAAGTGAAATGTATGATATAAGTTTACAAAAAAGAAAAAAAAAAGGAATAAATGGGTGAATAAATCAAGGTTTAAAAGACCAAAAGAGATTGACCTACCGAGCCTGAATGGTTGTACTTACTTAAATTTTGGGGTATGCGTGATGAGATCGCGTGACTTGTCACTGTACACGCGTGGGGACATACGGAGCGGTCAGCAGTATCGTGGTTGAAAAAAAAGTTATCAAAGATGGCGGCAGTTGGTATCGAAAGTGTGCCAGGTTTACAACAACTTTTCAAAGACATTTCTCCAAAATTTAAAGCTGTAGAATCAGAAAGTATCGTGAAAACTTTAAAAAAGAATTATGGAGGGAAATTTGATCTGCTGGATAGTCACGATCTGATGAAATGTTTTCAACTTCTTGAAAAGCACGGCTATGTGTCTGACAACAAACTTAACCTAATCGAAGACTTCGTTGCTACAAAATCTGACCAGGAGAAGCTCATTAAGAAAGATATAGATCGTTTCAAGGCCTCACGTTTGGGTAAAGGTGATCCAGAGAAGGAGTTAGAAGGACGGAGTGAAGAAATCAAAATAATTAACAAAAAACTGGAATCGAAAGACACCGGAGTACTAAACTTGTTTGGGTCGTCTGGTGTAGGAAAGACAAAGCTTGCCATTGAAGTTTGCTCACAGTGGCGAGGGAATTATCGTGTTTTTGATTTACGAGAAGCAAAGGATATGAAAGCGATCTATTACAACATGCTGCATTCTCTCGAACTAGTAATCCCAGTTGGTCGTGTTGATCAAAATTATGTTGTTACCAAAGTTCTAGAGAAGGTTGAAGAGTTTAAAGGTGAGAAAGATGCCGTTCTATTTATGCTGGACAATGTAGACCTCTTTACCGCAGGAAAAGGTAAAGAAGGGAAAAACT